CCCCTCGGAGGGGCACACCACCGTCCTGGTCGTTGTGGACCGGTTTTCCAAAGCCTGTCGTTTGATTCCTCTGCCTGGTCTCCCTACGGCCATGCAGACCGCGGGGGCTCTCTTCTCTCACGTCTTCCGGCATTACGGGATCCCGGAGGACATTGTGTCTGACCGTGGTCCTCAGTTCACCTCCCGTGTCTGGAAGGCCTTCATGGAACGACTGGGGGTCACGGTCAGCCTTACCTCTGGGTACCGTCCCCAATCAAATGGGCAGGTGGAAAGGGTAAATCAGGAACTGGGTAGGTACCCTCCGTCACTCCTCCACTAACCTCACACCGTTTCAGTGTGTTCTAGGCTATCAGCCGGCCCTGGCACCGGAGTCAGATCGAGGCTCATGCGGTGGACAATTGGTTCCGGCGCACCGAGGAGGTATGGAACACAGCGCACACCCGTCTCTAGCGTGTCATCCTCCGGCAGAAGGCGCAGGCTGATCGTCACCGCAGTATGGCCCCAGTCTTTCACCCCGGTGACAAGGTCTGGCTTTCTATGAAGGACCTGCCCCTCCGCCTGCCCTGGCGGAAGCTGAGCCCGCGGTTTGTGGGGCCGTTCAAAGTCCTGAAGAGAATCAATGAGGTGACGTACAGATTACAGCTCCCCGTCAATTACCGTATCTCACCCTCATTTCATGTATCTCTCCTCAGGCCAGTGGCAGCTGGTCCCTTAGCTAGTGCTGGACCCCAAGATGCACCTCCCCCTCCCTTGGACGTCGAGGGATCCCCGGCATACTCCGTCCGCAGCCTGTTGGACTCAAGGCGTTGTGGGGGGTCTCTCCAGTACCTGGTCGACTGGGAGAGGTACGGTCCCGAAGAGCGGTGCTGGGTTTCCGGCGAGGGACGTCATGGACCGTTCTCTCATTCGGGTACTGTCACACCAGCCTTCGCTTTGGCGCCCCTTCCTGTCCAGCTCAGGCGTTCGGCGTCACCAGCCTTCTAGCTGCCGAACCTGCTGCTGGCAAACGCCCTTCACTCATCAACCCCGGACTTGTCTCGTCATCATTACACACACCTGGTTCCAATCCCCACTCTATCACTGTATATATATATACTCCCTATGTCATTTATCTTTGTCGGTCATTGTATATGTTGCTTGTTTTCCTGAGAGGAATCTCTCCTACTATTTAGTACTTTATATTTTGTACTGTGGGTTTCGTACCGCTTTAAGCTGTGGTGCTTTAATAAATTCAGTGGTTTTAAACCTGCGACTGCCTCCTCCTCTCTACACTTGTGACAATAATTGTATGTGTGGGGTACAGAGATGAGGTAGTCATTCAAAAATCATGTTAAACACTGTTATTGCACATAGTGAGTCCATGCAACTTATTGTGTGACTTGTTAAGCACATTTTGACACCTGAACTTATTTAGGCTTGCCATAACAAAGGGGTTGAATACTTATTGACTCAAGACATTTCAGCTTGTCATTTTTAATTAATTTGTAAACATTTCTAAAAACATAATTCCTAAATGTAATCCATTTAAATTCAGGCTGTAACAATTTTGGTGGGATAAAGTCAAGGGGTGTGAATACTTTCTGAAGGCACTGTATAGTTGGTTTGAGGTTTTTAAGTCATTGAAATTTGGAGCTATTGACATTTAAAAAATATTGTCCGATGTATATTTTGTAATTTACTGATGGTCCCTAACTAGCCCCATAGGTATATCGAATGTCAAACCAAATTGACCATGGACATTACAATCGGGTCCCTGTGGGCAGGTTTGAAGTAAACCCAACCCAAGGAAAACTGTTAGGGTACCCTTCATTCCGTGACATACCATTTTTTACTATCATCTTGCAAATCTCCGTTTTGGACAAGACTGACTTTATGACCAAAATTATCCTATTTGACACTGTAGTCAATTTTGACACTAGAAATGTTTTTGACTCATATCGATGCCACATAGGCCGTTTTCAAAACAAGAAGTGGTTATTTAGGGGCTATCGCTAAGTAAATTACCTGCAATCCTACACATTTTGCCATAGCTTATGACGTGCTCACATGCTATCTGGAGGGTCCCGGACCTCCAGGGGGCCCACAACTGACGTGTTCATACGCTATCTGGGGGGGCCCGACCTCTAGGGGGCCCCCAACCGATGTATTCATATGCTGTCTGGGGGGGCCCTGACTAGAGGTTGACACGGGAGTGAGAATTCATTCCTGTCCATCTTATCCTGTCAATTTTTCCCATACTGTCCTGATCTCGCAACAGTTATATAAAACCATAACAGTTCTATTACTTTCTTGTCCTGTCCCGATACAAATCACTCCTGTCCCGTACCGTGCTAATTTTAACCGCATGCTCAGTGCTCACGAGATGAGAGAACTGTTAGCTAGCTACTGTTTGATGCCTGCCAGCTGATAAAGGCCTATTATAATTGTTTTAATAGTAATTGAAGATTGAAGAACATGTGTTACTGTTGGGAGAAGGAGTGGCATGGGCAAAAAAAAACATTCAAAACAATATAACCTTCTAAAATGGCTTATAACACAAAAATAACTCAATTTTAAATCATTCCTGTACTGCCCATCCTGTGGACTGTTGATCCTGTCCCATCCTGTCCGGAACTTGCCTCTGGAATTTCACTCCTGTTCCTGCAGGAATCCTGCGGGAGTGCTGTTCCCGTGTCAACCTCTAGTTCCGACCTCCAGGGGGCCTCCAACCCAAGGCATGTGCCCTGCATGCCCATTCGGTAATTTCGCCCTGCTCAGTAAGGGTTCAATCCTAACCTGGACTTTGAAAAACTCATGCACTGGTGTCAAGGGATGATTTGTGTAAAAACTTGAGTTGTACACATAACTTGTTAGGATTCGGTTCGGTCCTTTGTGCAGACACTGGCTGGTCTTACTTCCAAAGGCACTTAATATTATTTTTCTGTTGGAACTTTGAACACCATTGAGGGTCTGATGATTCCAGATGAGAATAACATAACGGAATAACATTATCCTGGTGTTTAATTGATGGTTCAAAGGATGTTGGTATATCACTAATTTTATTACCTAGTTGGGAGATTGATATCATTATTTTGCACTGTACATGCAAAACTATTTGTAAATAGTCAGAGGCATATCACCACCTATATCTGACAGGGGACACACCATTTGAACAAAACAAGGTTGTGATATAAATTCAAGATGCTTGTTGTTTTCTATGTTTATGTTTTTGCTGAATGGCAAGAGTCTCAGACCCAATAAGAATATTGTCTTTCATGTAGTAAAGAAATGTCATAATGTTGGCTAATTGTTTAACTTCAGCAGTAAACTGAGATGGGTCTCCATGAGGTGCTAGTCATGACCTTAATGCATTAATACTATACATACTGTAAAATAACCTTGTAACAGAGATAAGTACACAGCAACAAAACATGCAGACTAACTTTCCTTTCGACAGAGCATGTACAACTGTAATAAAGGGGCATTTAACATATTCATTTGTTCTGTTAGATTTTGTAAGTTGTTAACAAAGGTGGTAATGAACAATCAAATTTCTTCTGTAGTATGGATTGGCTGTTCCTCCAGCCATATATTGGAAGTATTTGTTTGAACACTCCAAGCAGAAGCCATACATTTTTGTCATTGATGACTACAACTAAGCCAATCTGTTCAGCATAGCCAATTTCTTGTTTTTAACACTGCAGTATAATGTAAGTCGTTCATTAGCTACTTTTTTTAAAGGATGATACCATTGTAGGGCACAATGAATGTCTACAATAAAATGTTGTTTGATGAATGTAAAGCATTATTTACTTTGGGAATAAAGAACAACTTTTCATGATGAATGATCCAGAAAAGGGATTTTCTACTTTTACTGCTTGAAGATTCATTTTTAGCCCTTAGTGTAAACAGACTGTATAAACTGTAAATAGACTCTGGTGTATGAACATTTCCTTCTTTTTTTTTTTACTGCTGCATTGACCCTAAAAAAATACTGTATAAGGTAGCAATAAATACATAGGGAACTAAACAGATACAATTGTCCACTCAACCTATGCAGTTTCTTTACTTTGATCTTGTAAATCTTTGCATTGTTCTCATGACAAATAACAGAAAACAAAAAAGGCAAATAAAAACCATTTAGTGCAACGATACAGAATGAGGCTATTTCAGTGCAACGAAAACCATCTATTGCAAATAAGACTGATGGAGTTGTATTGTTTGGTATCCAAAATAGGCACCGCTGAGTATCTGTGTGTCGCAATCAAGTCGACTACACGCATGTAATTCTATTGAACAAATATGAGCAGGTCCAATGCATTACATTTTTCAAATTCTGTCAACTGTAGTCAATAAGCTCAAGTGGCATTGCTAAATATGAAATGTGCAAAAACCTTGTCATTTCTACAACCAAGCAATTTGGTGAGTATAATGAGTTATGTTGAAATGTGAAGACCTGTGGAAATAACTTAATAGGATTTCATTATTGTGCAATAAAAGCATGGGATCCAGCCAGGGCTTATGGGATGTTTGGGAGTGCCATTGGTGCTTTGTCCAACATCAAAGCTAACCTATTACTCACCTATTTTAGGCATGCTGTGGAAAATAATTAATGCAAATTGTCATCCATAAGGTCCGAATACCAAAATGGATTCCTTCATTTTTAATTTGATGTTAAATATGGGTGGTGTGTTTGTACAAAAATTATATTTCCTACAACTTTAATAATAATGATGCTTTAGAAAATGATCAAATTAAGTGCTAAACATACAAAGACTGGACTTAGTTGTGTATTTGGTCTTGGTACAGTAATTAAAGGAAGAGGGTCATTATGTGTTTTGAGGGCAGAGGATTTGACTTGATCTGCCGGGGGGAAAGAACCAGGCTAGGGGAACTGTCCTTGTGCCAACATGGCCCATGTGAGGCTCAGAGGGACATTTAACTCACCCCTGAACCTGATAGCACGGACACGCACAGAGACACAGGTACAAACCCACACAAGGGCTGCATCTGAAATGGCACCCTATTCAGTGCACTACATAGGGACTAGGGTGCCATCTCGGACACAACCACACACACACACACACACACGCTCTTCATTGGCATCAGTTTGAGCCCAGTGACTACTCTTCAACCTAGTAACCCAAAGCCTTCGATACTAGTTGCCGCTTGCCATCACATAAATAGCTTAATCCCTCTGAGCACAACATTTATCACTATCCAGTTATTTTATTTACAAATATAATTTAAAGACAAAGTCAACAGTCAAGTCTCTGTTCCATTCTCATCCTTCATAATAGGGTGGAACAGAACTCCATATTCTCTTCACAAAGATCTCTATTTTCTCTCCCTCTCATGGACGGCTTCTGCTGTAATAGCCGCCCAGTTTAAGTCTGTACGTCAGCCCCCTCTTCTCCCCTCTAAGTCCCCCCTCTCGCTCAGGGGAAGAGATGCAGGTCCAGTTTGGGCGCCCACTCCAGGGCTGTGTTGACCAGGGTGAGGGCAGCTGCCCCCAGGGCCACAGTGAGCCCCATGACGGCCAGTCGGACGAAGCGTCGGGCCGCGGTGGGTTGGGCCGTCGCCACCATGGCCCCTGCAGCCGCTCCTTCCAGCGCCTGCTTCTCCCTCCGCCGCCTTCGCAGCACTGAGTCGGGCCGCTGCTGCTCTGAGGCCAGATCAAAGTCTTTAAAGGTGGAGGCTGCTGTCCTGAGAGACCAAGGAAAACAATAACACCAGCCATCTTAGTGTCAGGTAATTAAAGCGTCAGTTCACCTGTCAGGGGAGATGAAGGTTACTGTCAGATCACACTATCTCACCCGAGAGTGTTAATGAGGGAATGTGACTCACAACAGCAGGGAGGAGAGGGAGGGGGGAAGAGAAAGACAGGAGATATAGGAGGAGGTAGAGGATCTGTGGGGGTGGGGGGAGAGGGAACCCATAGGCAACTACGTGACAAAAAGAGACAAGCGAGAGATGAGGTAGACAGTCTTACTGTTGACTGTACTGCTGGGCAGCCTCCCTGGCCAGCTCGGAGGGGGGGAACTGTACAAAGAGGTCTCCTGCGCGGCTGATGAGTGTCTCGTAGGGCAGGTCCTGGGGGATCTGGGACAGGAGGTGGTGGACCGACGCCATGTCACACTCACAGTCCAACACCTCCTCCTCCCGGTACAGCACAATCTGGAATAGCCACCGACCAAATAGTGCACACACACACACACACACACACACACACACACACACAATACAACAACCAGTTAACAGCATGCGGTCTATGGCCTATGCCAGGGTTTCCCCAACTCAGTCCTCGCATAAGTGGTCAGCTAAGCTCTGCTGCAAAAAATATATATGTTTTTCATAAGAAAACATACTCGATTTGTGAGGCACATTTGAACTCCAAGAATGGCTACATCCACATTTCTAAATATCTGATCTAGCCCCTGACAAAAGGAAAAAAATAGGGTTATGTTTGGGGTCACTTTAGTCCCAAAAAGAGGACACTCACCACAGCAGCAAAGTAGATTGGCATCAGAGGATGGCAGGCCAAGAAGAAGTCATACAACCGCACGACGTGGCGGAAATCTGACAGGACGTGGCCAAACCAGGTGATGAGCCAGCTAAGGGCGAAGATGGTGCCCACCTCCGCCCTGGAGACACATTCAATGCAACATAAGTGATTAGTCAAATTATTGGTATTGTATCTTCATTAGTTGTGCTCATTAGTTATTTGACAAATTACTGATTGTACTAACAGAACAAGAGAAAATATTCTTACTGCTGCATGAAGTCATGCACCTCTGGGTTGATCCTCTCGATGATTGGCATCAGATAGTTAAGGATGTGTTTAGTGTTGTCCATGGTGGGGTCCATAAAGTCCCTGCAGTAAACGAACAGCAGAGGACCACAACACATGACAAACTGAACCAGGATTAGAGAATCAACATGACAGTTTGTCAGTCATAAACATAGAAAGTAGCACTGTGTGTGTAATTCAAATGAAATGCTTCAAGATATGTCTTGTCTCCACTAGCAACTGTTTAGGATGACTCATCTGGCCAACTGTGTGCAGTTTACACACTACAAAAGCTCAAACAAACTGTTATTCTACAACCGGCTACGTTCGCTTTTCAAAATGGATTCCCCTTCTACTCAGTTGGTAGAGCGCTTGCAACGCCAGGGTTGTGGGTTCGTTTCCCACGGGGGGCCAGTATAAAAAAAAGTAAAAAAATAAAATAATGTATGCACTAACAGTAAGTCGCTCTGGATAAGAGCGTCTGCTAAATGACTAATATGTAATATGTACTTAACCCCTATTTTAAAGCCAAGCTCCTGTGGGAAGGGAACACCGAAACAGACAGAGACCCACCTGAGGTGGTGCGTAGAGAGTTTCTCCACCAGAGCGGTGGCCAGACGCTCGTCTAGCACCAGCAGGAAGGTGACCACGATGTCATGGTAGCCCTGGTAGTAGTGCAGCTGGGTGTTCCTCCCCAGCACCCGCAGGATGATATCAATCAGCTTCTCCTGGAGGCCCTCACGCTGCTCGTCTGGCATGCCTACACATGGAGAGGGGTCAAAAGTCAAAGGTCACAAGTCAAAAGGCCCAGCTGATTTCCTCATTATGGGCCAAATCCTAACTAAAGAAAGTAAATGTATAACTTGGCCTTTATGCATATTATGTACTGATGTCAACAGAAGACTATAGGAGTTAAGCAGGCAGCTCCCACGGTAGGATTCTGTATTATACAACCATGGGTGCTTTTCTCCAGGGGTCCCTGTTCGGGCGCTAGTTCTATAGCGGTATTGTTAGAGAATGGTAAAGATAAAGATTTTTGTTTCGAATGCCAGGCAGGTATTAACCCTGCCGAAAGGAAAAGAGTAAGATAGATAGTAACGCTACCAGACACACACACACACCAGCAGAACAGACTGCCTAGAGTGTAGCCTGTTCGCCAGATAGCCAGTGGACAGAAAGGATAAGACACACCATCTAAAACACAAGTTACAGCACAGGGGTAACCCGACCAATAATACCTCATACAAGAATAATGGTAGAGCAATTCAAAGGCAACTTCATAGATACAATTGACAAGAAAGAACCCAGTCATAAACCTTAGAGAATTTGCAATATTCTGTATTACCTCCCAGTGGAGGAGTGAGGGGGGTATTAATGGGTGTGTTCATAGACAAAACAAAGAAGGCCTTAAAATGTCCAAAAATCTTCTTGGCCAAATGTCAATAGTCCCACACAAAATCAATACAGTTCAAACAATAAACAAACTCACGCAACCTCCCTTTAACTAAAATGTCAAACAGTCCTACAGTGCATTATTAGTTCACCAAACATAAAAGGAATCGCAGCACAAAGAGAGAAATGTATTCAGTGTAAAGAACTGAAGGAGATAAAGAGAGATGGGCTTAGCAGTTGCATCCAGGCTTGAACATGCATTCGTCCATCCAACACAATCCTTGGTTGTTTGTTTGACAAAAGCTTGCAACAATGTTGCTAGTAATCCATGTGATCAGAAGATTGGAACCGTTCAACGCATCAGGAGTAGCTCTATAAAGGCGATCAAACGTATAACTTTTATAAACTAAGCACACTGAAACTACACAAGACTTCTGCAGAGTTGCACACGCCGTCAAAACTGCGGCGCTAACCGAGGGCCCCTACACAGAGCCGGAAGAGCCATCTTTATTTCCTCCTTCCCGACTGCTGCTGCGCTCTTAAAGTGGCAGCGCACGGTGAAGCCTCCGTGCAGGATTTCGCCACAAGACAGTCATGCCCTTTCTGACAAAAATGACCAAACTTTCCCGGGCCGAGAAACAAGCATGGCAGAATTCCAATGAATTTCAAAGAGCCCAGTAAATCAGATTATTCTTTCTCCATTTTGGGACTTCCTAAATAATAATAATTTGGTGGGTGCATATATTTGTCAATGTGTTTTTGCATATTCCAAGGCCCCGAGACACCCTCGGAGAGTGGGGTCACAGGCAGGGTCCGCCATTACCAACAGCAACATTGCAGCAATTAGGGTTAAGTGCCTTGCTCACGGGCACATCGGCAGATGTTTCACCTTGTCAGCATGGGGATTCGAACTAGCAACCTTTGGGTTTTTGGCCCAACGCTCTAACCGCTAGGATAGCTGCTGCTTTGATAAAGAAAGCAGTAATATACAGACACATAGAACACCCTCCAAAAGAAACAAATACAAAATGACAGGGTTGCATAGTCTGTAGATCTACAGTGGGGAGAACAAGTATTTGATAACCTGCAAAATCGGCAGTGTTTCCTACTTACAAAGCATGTAGAGGTCTGTAATTTTTTATCATAGGTACACTTCAACCGTGAGAGACGGAATCTAAAACAAAAATCCAGAAAATCATATTGTATGATTTTTAAGTAATTAATTTGCATTTTATTGCATGACATAAGTATTTGATCACCTACCAACCAGTAAGAATTCCGGCTCTCCCAGACCTGTTAGTTTTTCTTTAAGAAGCCCTCCTGTTCTCCACTCATTACCTGTATTAACTGCACCTGTTTGAACTCGTTACCTGTATAAAAGACACCTGTCCACACACTCAATCAAACAGACTCCAACCTCTCCACAATGGCCAAGACCAGAGAGCTGTGTAAGGACATCAGGGATAAAATTGTAGACCTGCACAAGGCTGGGATGGGCTACAGGACAATAGGCAAGCAGCTTGGTGAGAAGGCAACAACTGTTGGCGCAATTATTAGAAAATGGAAGAAGTTCAAGATGACGGTCAATCACCCTCGGTCTGGGGCTCCATGCAAGATCTCACCTCGTGGGGCATCAATGATCATGAGGAAGGTGAGGGATCAGCCCAGAACTACACGGCAGGACCTGGTCAATGACCTGAAGAGAGCTGGGACCACAGTCTCAAAGAAAACCATTAGTAACACACTACGCCGTCATGGATTAAAATCCTGCGGTGCACGCAAGGTCCTGCTGCTCAAGCCAGCGCATGTCCAGGCCCGTCTGAAGTTTGCCAATGACCATCTGGATGATCCAGAGGAGGAATGGGAGAAGGTAATGTGGTCTGATGAGACAAAAATAGAGCGTTTTGGTCTAAACTCCACTCGCCGTGTTTGGCGGAAGAAGAAGGATGAGTACAAACCCCAAGAACACCATCCCAACCGTGAAGCATGGAGGTGGAAACATCATTCTTTGGGGATGCTTTTCTGCAAAGGGGACAGGACGACTGCACCGTATTGAGGGGAGGATGGATGGGGCCATGTATCGCGAGATCTTGGCCAACAACCTCCTTCCGTCAGTAAGAGCATTGAAGATGGGTCATGGCTGGGTCTTCCAGCATGACAACGACCCGAAACACACAGCCAGGGCAACTAAGGAGTGGCTCCGTAAGAAGCATCTCAAGGTCCTGGAGTGGCCTAGCCAGTCTCCAGACCTGAACCCAATAGAAAATCTTTGGGAGGTAGCTGAAAGTCCGTATTGCCCAGCGACAGCCCCGAAACCTGAAGGATCTGGAGAAGGTCTGTATGGAGGAGTGGGCCAAAATCCCTGCTGCACTGATGTATCAAATACTTATGTCATGCAATAAAACACAAATTAATTACTTAAAAATCATACAATGTGAATTTCTGGATTTTTTTTTTGATTCCGTCTCTCACAGTTGAAGTGTACCTATGACAAAAATTACAGACCTCTACATGCTTTGTAAGTAGGAAAACCTGCAAAATCGGCAGTGTATCAAATACTTGTTCTCCCCACTGTACATCACACAAGTGAAATTCAAGAGGGACAGCCAAAACAGACAATGATGACAAAACACAACCTCACATGACTTTGTGCCATTCTAAGAACATGGTCTGAGGTGTGCATGCACACCCCACAAGACATGCCAAGACCAGAACAGACTATGGGAGGCGCACAGTACTACATAGTTCCATGACCACGGTTTGATGCCCCCTGGGGCTAGTGCAGTGGAGGAGATCTTTGTGGGCTATACTCAGCCTTGTCTCAGGGTAGTAGGTTGGTGGTCTGTTGATATCCCTCTGGTGGTGTGGGGGCTGTGCTTTGGCAAAGTGGGTGGGGTTATATCCTGCCTTGTTGGCCCTGTCCGGGGGTTTCGTCGGACGGGGCCATAGTGTCTCCCGACCCCCCCCGTCTCAGCCTCCAGTATCTATGCTGCAATAGTCTATGTGCCGGGGGGCTAGGGTCAGTCTGTTATATCTGGTGTTATTCTCCTGTTTTATCCGGTGTGCTGTGTGAATTTAAGTATGCTCCCTCTAATTCTCTCTCTCGCTCCCTCTCCTCCCGGAGGACCTGAGCCCTAGGACCATGCCTCAGGACTACCTGGCCTGATGACTCCTTGCTGTCCCCAGTCCACCTGGTCATGCTGCTGCTCCAGTTTCTACTCTTCTGCCTGTGGCTATGGAACCCTGACCTGTTCACCGGACGTGCTACCTTGTCCCAGACCTGCTGTTTTTCAACTCTCTCACACCTGCTATTTCAAACTCTAAATGCCCGGTTATGAAAAGCCAAGTGACATTTACTCCTGATGTACTGACCTGTTGCAACCACTGTGATTATTATTTGACCCTGCTGGTCATCTATGAACGTTTGAACATCTTGGAGAGAAATCTGGCCTTAATGGCCATGTACTGTTATAATCTCCACCCGGCACAGCCAGTAGGGGACTGGCCACCTCTGAGAGCCTGGTTCCTCTCTAGGTTTCTTCCTTTCTAGGGATTTTTCCTAGCCACCGTGCTTCTACATCTGCTTTGCTTGCTGTTTTAGGCTGGGTTTCTGTATAGCACTTTGTGACATCTGCTGATGTTAAAAAAGGGCTTTGTAAATACATTTGATTGATTGAACTCTATTCCACATCAGGTAACTGACTGTACTCCTGAGTGGCGCAGTGGTCTAAGGCACTGCATTGCAGTGCTAACTGTGCCACTAGAGATCCTGGTTCGAATCCAGGCTCTGTCGCAGCCGGTCGCGACCGGAGACTCATGGGCGGCGCACAATTGGCCCAGCGTCATCCAGGGTAGGGGAGGGAATGGCCGGCAGGGATGTAGCTCAGTTTATAGAGCATGGCGTTTGCAACGCCAGGGTTGTGGGTTCGTTTCCCACGGGGGGCCAGTATAAAAAAATTAAATACAAATACAAAAAAAACTAAATAAAATAAAAACAATGTATTCACTAACTGTAAGTCGCTCTGGATAAGAGCGTCTGCTAAATGACTAAAATGTAAATGATGCAAGCAGTAGAATCAGATTTAAAAAACAGATAAAAATACACCTTATGGAACAGCGGGGACTGTGAAGAGACACACACAGGTACAGACACGCATACGCACATGGGCGCTGTACACACACGTACATTGGAATATTGTTGTATGGTGGTATCATACATTTTGTGTTGTAGATATGTAGTGGTTGTTATTTGTTGTACTGTTTTATATTTTGTTTTATGTGTAATGTAAGTGCCTTAATGTGTATGGACCACAGGAAGAGTAGCTGCTGCCTTGGCTAATGGGATCCCTAATAAATACAAATATGTGTCACTCACCAGGAGGGAATCTTTTAAGGGAACGCTGGACATCCAACAGCACCTGGTTATAGTCCTTATGATTCTGCCTCTCTACTTCCTCTGGAGAAAAGACAATGAGAAAGGGTGAATATGTGCCCCTGCACTTGATTGTGGTCTAGTACCCTTTGTAGCCTCAGTGGCATCTATGGTCTGTCAGTAGCAGTGCCCACTGCCCAGGCAGCTCACCTGGTTTCTCAGGCAGGGTGGCGGTGGGCACGTTGAGCAGCCAGGGCCACACTTTACAGCGGATATCGTCTGTAAGCAGCCCCCCCCTCGCTGATGGCCATCCTCCTTAGCAGCGCCACGTCCACCGGCGTCAAGTTCAGGGACTGAGAGATCTCCGCCACCTTCCTCTTCCTCCGGGAGTCCCCATCTGTCCACATGACAACGGTTCAGCTGAGGTCCCTCAACTCACAGCAGCACAGTGGCCATTAGCCAGAACATCCTCCTGAGATCGCTTCCGAGTATAGCTGAGAGGCATAATGGCCATCAATCAAGTACATCCCTCACAAAACTGAACTGCAGACACCCAGCTGGCTAGAGGGAGTACTCCAATAAAATAACCACGTTTTCAGAGTTACAACAGCCAGCACTCATGTAATGTAGTAGTGAGCCCAATTCATGACCTTATGCCTGGATTTGTAAGACAGTCCCCCTGCACTTTACTGGATAGTGATGCCACTTTGCCACACAAAATGGGAATAATTGTGTGTTTTCAGTATTTAGAAATATGAGTTAATTTAGTTACCTAACATCCTGTATTTCAAGGAAGCCTGTAAGTACAAGTAGTATGTATTGTTGTCCATATGTTTGATGAAAGACTTAGAAGGAGACAATGTCAAATCAATGGGTACCAGTCAATGATGTAAGTGTTTTTTAGCGAACGTTAATGCAATTAGCTAGTTACATTTTCCAGCTGGTGACATTCGCTAGCTAGCGAATCTAACACGAACTACGTGCAAGCATGACAAATAGCTAACTAGTTAGCCCACAGACAGAGACACCCTCTCGACTAATTCAGGTAACTAGCTAACTTAGCTAGCTTACTAAAACTTTTCAAAAACCTGTCCATGACGCTAGCTAGCAATACATACCTTGTTTTCCAATCCCATTCAAAGGTGAAGACGCATCAACACTTCTAGTTCTTTTCATGGTTTCCACGATACAGTCTTGTTGTCATCGTAGATTACTCGATCGATATACTTTTCTTACTCCACCAAATTGATTATACATGACAAATGGTCCACTCCTACTTGCTAGAGAGATAGCCAGTTGCCAAGCTGTTCCAGTGAAATAGGCCACATCATTATGGACTGCACAAGGTAGCTAGCTGCTGCTGCTGCTTTCTTCTTCTTCTTCTTCTTCTTCTTTGGGATTGGGTTGTCGGATCGCATCCAACCTTTAAGGTGCCGACACCGCCACATACTGTACTGGAGTGTGAGGCCAGTCACGGCCTACCTACAGTACAGTACATTACATTATCTTCATTAGTCCTGTTTCTTCTAAGAAAGTGAACTAGAGCCATAGACACCACTTCCCTCCCCTTTCCTTCCCTCACTACACCACCCAAACCCCTTCCCAGCCTCTCTAACCCTTTCACACAATCTATCCTTATCTAGGTCATACAGTTCACAAAATATCAACACATGCTCCACCGTTTCCTCCACTAAACATTCATCATACAGACCTGTTTGTTATGTCTTCCTATCAACCACAACGTGACATTCAAACCTGTGTGACCAAACCGTAGTCTACTCCACACAACTTCCTCTCTCCTACATCCCATACTCCCCACCTCTTCCTTTACTGACCGGTGCACAGGATAAAATTGCCTCCCCTTAGAGCTAGCATCCCACTCCCTTTGACAAAGATTGAGCCCTTTTCCCGGATCAAGGACTTGACTTCCCTGCGGCCCAGCAATACCTGAATATCTACCAACTCTCTCCTCACAGCACTCTTAGCCACCACATCGGCCTTCTCATTACCCTCCACACCCACATGGGCGGGAACCCAGCAAAAGTTTACCACCACTCCTATCCTCTCCAATCCCATTAACAGCACCATCATCTCCACAAACAAGTCTCCCCTATCCGACCTGCCCATCTTCACACTACTCAACACTGCAGCCGAATCAGAGCAGATCACCACTCTGAGTGGTTTCACCTCCTCCACCCATCTCAAACCTATAATCATGGCCATCAACTTGGCTGCATACACTGACACATAATCAGTTAAACCGCGTACATACAATAACATTGAAATCTGGAATATACACCCCTGCCCCCACCCTACCACTGACTGGATCCTTTGAACCATCTGTATATATCCCAGAACCATCACATCCTCACCCCATTCTCTCCTGCCCTCAATCATGTCCACATCTACACTTGGTTTTAAAGAAAACGTTCCCCAATGCAATTGCTGGCCCTATCTCTCTCTCCCCCAATCCATATTCTACCACCTTCTGCCCGATTGTCCACCCGTACACCCTCTACTTACCCACACCTCGCTCCCAGCATTTCCCAGTTGCCGTGACCGCAGGATGTCCTTCTGAACTCCCTTTCAACTTCGCCCAGTACGCTAATGCAAATTTGTCCCGACTTCTCCTCAGTGGCAGTTCCCCACTATCCACCTTCAATACCTCAACAGGTGTCATCCTGAAGGCACCCACACACAATCTCAGGGCCCTTGACTGCATCCTATCCAGGCGCTGTAGTACCGTTTTGGCTGCCAGTCCATATACAAAGCACCCATAATCCAAAAATGACCTGATCAATGCCTGGTACATATACAACAGTGTTTGTCTATTTGACCCCGAATCATATCCTGCCAATGCCCTTATGAGGTTCAGCACCTTCCTACACTTAATTTCAATATACTCAACATGTCTCTTCCACGTAAGCCTCTCATCAAACCACACCTAAATACCCTATCTAAATCCTTACCGTATATTTGCAGCCTAAGTTAGCTAGCTAGATAGCCAGCTAGCTAATAATGTTAGCGAAATTAGCAAAATCAAGTTTTTTTCACCTCCTGTGTGCACACGCTTGTGGGTGCACACATTTTGTTAATGGGTGTTATAATAAAGACCATAGGCAGCTGGTGAGTTTCAAGTTTGGGGAAGCTTACAATTTATCCTACCATTTCTACCTATCTGTGTGCCAGTTATGATTATTATTTCACTGGGGACGGTGGAGACATGTCCCCCCCACATTCTGAAATTGCATTTTTGTCCCCCCTAGTTTTATCATTGGAATGTGAAACAAAACAAGGCCCGGTTTGCTTTAGGACCATGCGGATGCCTCCGAGTGGCCGGGTAGGCTGTTTGGAGTGTTTATCCGACTGGATTAAAATTATGCCCCCCCAACTTCTAAAACCAAAGTTGCGCCCTGATTATTTTTCTATGCACATTTTCATGGAACAGTTTCATTTCAATAATAAAGTTTTGTTTCTCAAAATTATTGTCACGTGGTTAATCATAAAAATCAGATTTAAAATGATAAAAATCTAAAGTTAAAATTCAACTAATGGAAGAGCACCATCCTTTGCCTTATGGACACATTGATACACCATGATCCATTGATGGCTAAAGAAATTAGCGCATGTAACTCAGAGATAGCCTATAGGCCAATGCAGCAGTATGTCGCCCCCTCCGGCTCGTGTAGTGGAGGAGATCTTTGTGGGCTATACTCAGCCTTGTCTCAGGGTAGTAGGTTGGTGGTCTGTTGATATCCCTCTGGTGGTGTGGGGGCTGTATATTGGCAAAGTGGGTGGGTTATATCCTACCTGGTTGGCCCTGTCTGGGGGTATTGTCGGACGGGGCCACAGTGTCTCCCGACCCCCCCTGTCTCAGCCTCCAGCATCTATTCTGCAATAGTCTATGTGCTGGGGGGCCAGGGTCAATCTGTTATATCTGGTGTTATTCTCCTGTCTTATCCGGTGTCCTGTGTGAATTTAAGTATGCTCCCTCTAATTCTCTCTCTCTCCCTCTCTCCCTCCCCTCCCGGAGGACCTGAGCCCTAGGACCATGCCTCAGGACTACCTGGCCTGATGACTCCTTGCTGTCCCCAGTCCACCTGGTCGTGCTGCTGCTCCAGTTTCAACTCTTCTGCCTGCGGCTATGGAACCCTGACCTGTTCACCGGACGTGCTACCTTGTCCCAGACCTGCTGTTTTCAACTCTCTCTCTCTACCGCACCTTCTATTTCAACCTCTAAATGCCCGGCTATGAAAAGCCAAGTGACATTTACTCCTGATGTACTGACCTGTTGCAACCTCTACAACCACTGTGATTATTATTTGACCCTGCTGGTCATCTCGGAGAGAAATCTGGCCTTAATGGCCATGTACTGTTACAATCTCCACCCGGCACAGCCAGAAGGGGACTGGCCACCCCTCAGAGCCTGTTCCTCTCTAGGTTTCTTCCTAGGTTTCTGCCTTTCTAGGGAGTTTTTCATAGCCACCGTGCTTCTACATCTGCATTGCTTGCTGTTTGGGGTTTTAGGCTAGGTTTCTGTATAGCACTTTGTGACATCTGCTGATGTATTTATAAAGCCCTTTTTACATTTGATTGATTGATTGATATAACTTACATCGTCAACTAAGTAACATACATAGGCCGAAAGGCGAAACAGTAGAAAATATCCTGATGAAAATTCAGGTTCTTTCAATCACATGAATCTCTCTACTCCGTCTGTCTGCCTCCCTTTCTGTATGTCAGGGATCATCAACTAGATTTTGTGAGTGGATGGTCGGGGGGCCGGAACAGGCAGGGTTGGCAGATAGCCTAGTGGTTAAGAGCATTGGGCCAGTAACTGGAAGGTGACTGGTTTGAATTCCTGAGCCGACTAGGTGAAAAATCTGTAGATTTAGCATGACAATGTCCCTGTGCACAAAGTGAGGTCCATACAGAAATGGTTGTCGAGATCGGTGTGGAAGAACTTGACTGGCCTGCACAGAGCCCTGACCTCAACCCCATCGAACACCTTGGAATGAATTGGAACGCCGACTGCGAGCCAGGTCTAATCACCCAACATCAGTGCCCAACCTCACTAATGCTCTTGTGGCTGAATAGAAGCAAGTCCCCGCATCAATGTTCCAAAATCTAGTGGAAAGCTTTCCCAGAAGAGTGGACGTTGTTATAGCAGCAAAGGGGGTTTAGGTTTAAGGTTTTATTTATTCGCACCAAAGAAAAGAAGTGAAATTCAAAACAGTTCAGATAAAAAGCGGGTAAAAACGGTGTGCAAGCGAGGTTGGAAGCCCAAAAGGGCTTATATGAAACCACACCAGAAATATACATAAAAAAAAAAAAAGTTTGTTCAATCAGTTAAGCAAAGCATATTAATTATAATTGTACATGATATACTCAGTATACAATAAAAACCATGTTTGTGCATGTGTGTGTGGTGAGTGTGAGAATTAGGCTACATGGAGGGGATTATTAGGTAGTTTGGTTCATCAGGCTGACCCCCAGTCTTCGCTGAGGGATGATGAGGTTTTGGCAATGTGAAGATAAATATTCCAGAGTATGGTACCTCTGTATCTGATAGAGAATTGACTATGTGAGGTGCGGCAGTGGGGAGGGGTGAAGGTTATCGCAGTGTCTTGTGTTATATAGGTGGATTTCACAATGAACCTGGTGGAATCCATTGAAGGGTTTAGGTAAACTGTCTGGGAGGTATGAGTATTTGTAGATTAAAGTGCATAATTGGCGTACATTAATGTCGTAAATAGACAAGATATTGAGTTTCTTAAACAAAGGTGCAGATGGAGCCAGGTAATTAGAGGAGGTGGCTAGTCTTGCAAATGTATTTTGTATGACGAGTAATTTGTGTAGGTAGGAGGCATATACAGTGGGGAGAACAAGTATTTGATACACTGCCGATTTTGCAGGTTTTCCTACTTACAAAGCATGTAGAGGTCTGTAATTTTTTATCATAGGTACACTTCAACTGTGAGAGACGGAATCTAAAACAAAAATCCAGAAAATCACATTGTATGATTTTTAAGTAATTAATTTGCATTTTATTGCATGACATAAGTATTTGATCACCTACCAACCAGTAAGAATTCCGGCTCTCACAGACCTGTTAGTTTTTCTTTAAGAAGCCCTCCTGTTCTCCACTCATTACCTGTATTAACTGTACCTGTTTGAACTCGTTACCTGTATAAAAGGCACCTGCCCACACACTCAATCAAACAGACTCCAACCTCTCCACAATGGCCAAGACCAGAGAGCTGTCACAGTTTCGGCCGAGGCTGCTCCTCCTCCTGGTTCGGGCAGGCTTCGG